GGGAGCGGACAGATCGAACATCAGCCTTTTATTTACGTGTGGCTATTCCGATGGGATTTGAACGGAACACTGAGAAGGGGGAGGAGCTAAAAGGACCGATTATATATCCTTTGAGAAGTTCTTTGTCGATGAGCTGGGAAACTATGTTGGGTTCTTTAGCGGCTGACTGTAAGTTTCTTGCTACGAAAGTCACTGTGGGAGATGGGAGGACCCTTACCCTGAAGCCTTGGGAGAGCCCTGACAGGAGATAGTCAACAAACACGGAATCTGTAGATAGCGCAGCTGCTAGCTGAGGGATGTTAATGGGAGTGGAGGGGTGATATTCCAGAATGTTTTTAGTTATTTATTTATTTTTTGATGTTTCTGGCGCAGAGCCACTGTGACGGCCCGTCCACACGGTGGCGTGCGTTACAGCTTCCAAACGCTTCTGCCCATTCACTTGAATGGGGTGACGTCACTTTTAGCAGAACTGTATTTTTGGGAAGCGACGTGGAGCGTTTGCTGGCGTTGCTCGCTTCAAAAAGTTGAGCAATGTTCAACTTTTGGCGCCTCGGCAGAAGCGTCAGCCAATGAAATCCCGTTTATGCAAATCTGCCAGTACAAGCGCTAGCCAATCAGACCGCGTGTATGCTGGGAGAGACTACGCAGGTAATTCCTCATATTCCAAAAATTTGAGGGAAAATTCATTATAGCGGTAGTGAATCACCCGGTGCTGTATGATCAGTCTCTGTTCATCTACCGGGATACAAACCAGAGGAGCGAGGCATGGAGGGAGGAGGCAGAGACAGTGGGTGAAACTGGTAGGTTTTCACCTGTTGGGGATTTTTTCTTTTTTTTTTCTTACAGTTTACTTAGTTTTAACATTGCTATTGCTTTGTGTGTCGGGGGCAAGAGATTCATGTGATTGGTTGTTGCTGCTGTGCGGACCAGTAGCGTAGGCAGAAATGTACTTTAGGGTGGGCCTGTAAAAATATAGGGTGGGCCAGATTTTCCTTCTGCGCATCAGAAACTAACCACAATCCCGCCGGTACCGGTGGCAGATTACTTTTAGAATACTTCCCTTCTTCTCTTCTTTTTATATTTTCTTTTTTCCTCTTCTTTTTATCTTTTCTTTCTTCTTTATAATACTTTCTTTTCCATAACAGATGGGTATGTTTTGGTGAACGGGAGATACGTATTTTACTGTTTTAATAGCTTATGAAGAGCACGAAGACAACATTTTAGTGTCATTCTGGACAGCTCTCTCATCTGCACCGCACATAAAAAGAAAAACTCACCCAGACTGCATTCTTTGTACTGTCTTAAAACCTTTCCTTGGAAAAGTGTATGCATTGTAAGGTGTCCTTGGGTGCTTTGAAAGGCGCCCCTAAATAGAATGCATTATCATTATTATTTATTATCTGAAACGATGTAATAACTTTTAAAACTTTTCCCAGTTACTTGCCCATGCATTCGGCAGCAGCAGGCCATTCAGTTAGATTTGATCCCGTTATAAATGTCATCATTCGACAATAAATAAATGCTACATAAACGTTATCTTCCACGTTTTATCTAAACATCTCCGTTTCTACCTTCCAATATGTTTTGAAAGAGAACTCTCTCTCATCTGCGTGCGGGGCGGGGCCTCACGGACACGCTGCATCTCTCGCTCGCAGATACGCTGCAGCGCTGTGCACACGGTTCTGCCGGTAATGAATATTACATATTGTGAGGAAACTTTCCACCAATAATTCCAATAAGTATTCACTTCAGGTTTACGAAAGTAACTGCACTCAGATTACTCGTTTTTCAAATGTAACACCAGCTGAATATACTGATTTTTTTTCCTTTTTCTTCTGATTACGTAACACCGTTACATGTATTCCGTTACAACCCAACCCTGTGTAAGGGTGAGTGTAAACATTTTCGTTAAAACTAGTACCTGAGTGCAACGGAAGTTGATGCTCCTGTGGCGGAGTCTTCCAGAGCCTGGAGGCGAGCATCGATAGCTATCATGGAGCTAGCCAGGGATTGCAGGGAGCCTGCCGCGCTACTCTCCACAAGGGGTGTGACACTCCCTGCCTGGCGAGCCTGAGAAGGGGTGGATTTTTGGAGGGGGACGTGATCCTGGAGGGCTCGACTTCCTGCCCTTTTTTTTTACCTCCGCGGCTGCGGCCTCGTCCTCGTGCTGCTCTCTGGGGAGCTGACTGGAGCTGCTGCCCCGGACTGGGGAGCTACGCTGGAGACCTGGTCCGAGAGCTCTCGCAGCTGAGAGAGAGTGAGGCCTGGGGCTGTGGGAAAGCCCTGCTGCAGGAGCCGGGCGATGAGGAAGTCTGCCTCTGTTGATAAGCCGCTGTGGGGAGCCGAACTGGGATCGGAGACTTCCAGAGAAGGTTCGTGTTCCGAATTGTCCGAGTTGGACATCTTGAGCTAGTTGTTTCTTACGGTTTTTCTCACGAGAAGGAGTATTGTATTGCAACTACCATTGCGTGTGATCCTCTGCAATGACAACTGACAGGGAGGAAGAGCAGGTATTTAAGGAATTTAGCATGTGCAGCGATTGGCTGCTGAGGGGTGACGCCCTCGTATTTAATGAGGGGGGAAGGGAGCCATAGAGTGACGTGTAAGTGACTCGTGTTAGGTCTTCCTTATTGAACTTGCGCTAAATCTTTCATTTGTCCATTCACAAGAACAAAATAAAAATATATACTCAAAGTAACATCTCTGCTCCTAGTACTAAGATGGGCTAATGCACATTTCACTGTGTGTGCTGTGTGCATATGTGACAATTAAAGAGGGTTTCATCCTCCAATTCTAGTATTCTCTAATGCATTTATTTGGCAAGCCTTTTTCCTAAAGTTCAAAAGTATTAAGATCACAAACAGCCCCCATTGTGAACCCCTCAATTGTCAAAAGAGAAGATAGATGCAACATCACATGTGAAAATGAATCAACCTTCTGCACCTTTGTGGATTTCCTGTGTGGCCGTCATGAAACCATTTTTTTTTATTAGCAGTGCAGCTTGTGTAGAATATCAAAGACAATAACTGATTTGTTTGCTGTCACACACAGGATAAAGATGTTGCTTCTCTCATACATTTTGTGTTTACAGATGGCACAATTAACCACTCTGTGTCGGGGTAAACCAAAAACCTCTTTAAAAACATGTATAGAGTAAAACGAAGGGACAGTGCACAGTATTGAACATGAGCATTTGAGTCCACGTGTAGTCATAGTCTGGCCCATTTACATGAAGTTCATGCACTATGATGAGATAAGACAGGAACCGACGTGTGTATGAAAGGCTGCACGCTAATAAAGTGTTTTTGAACACCTGCTGGAAATGAATGACTAATACGTAAACTCACAGAGCACGAGGAAAATTAGGGGGGTGTAAGATATGTCTACTTTTTTGTTATTATTCTATTTTCAGTCCTGTACAGTTTGTTTAGCGTGTTTCAGATTGTTTGATCATTTTAGTAAATCATTTCAGGACGCATTGAACTGATTGCAGCCTCCGTCACTCTTCAGGTGAACGTATGCGATTTCTGCCTCTAGCAGCAGAAATGCGTTTAATCAATGCTATTCTAACCTATAACGATTTGTTAATGGTCGCAAAGACCATTTAAAAGACTGACACAAGCAACGTGCACACTTTTACCACACGTGCCACCACGGTGAACTTATATGTGGTTTACACTGTAATGGCACTTTTGCTCCATCTGCTGGATATATTTTCGTATGAACTCACAAAAGGTGTCAATGAGAGGATTTTTCTTTTGAAAAAGGATATAGGCTACCGCTCCAAAAAAAGTAAAATAAAAACATGGCAGTTTTGAAAAGGTCGTGGCACAGTAGTGAGGTACTGCAGCGTTCATATCTGTGTTTCCGAGTAACTTGAATATAAATAACTTACGAATAAGACTAATTATCTTCCATTGTGATGAATTCAAGGTTCAAGTAGCTCCCATGGTCCTCTCATACACTCTGCTCTGCTGAGAGGAAGACCCTTTTTATATTAAGGACAAGTGTTTAAAACCTCATGAAAAACATGTGCCAAATGTCATGAAAGTCAGAAGAAGAGAGACATATGAGATTAGTAGGGTATGAAATTCGTTATTCCTGAAATAAGATTGAATTGAGTTGGGTTCATGGGTTAATCAAGTTTAGTAAAACAGCTGAATAAAGTGCAAAGTAAATAAAAGGCATATCCTGTGATGACAATGTGTGTGTGTGTGTGCTTTCATGGTATATTTGTAATTGCATAATGTTAATGTTTAGGAGAGTATTGTCTCTAATTCAGCTGTCTAGGCTTTTGAATTTGGATAAAAGCGTCAGCTAAATGCAATGTAATGTAATGTAATTGTATATTTGCATTACAACAACAGAAAGTGATTCAAAGTCGATTAAGCTTTATTAGCATGACAGACCCCTGTAATGCTTGAATTGGAAGAGGAAATTAAATTTGACAAATGATAATACATATATAACATGCAAATATCAACACAATCAAATCTAATAAATGCATTACATAACAAATGGGCATCTTGATATTTTTACACATGTGATCCTTGAGATACATTTAGGCCTACTACCGATTTTTTTTTCTAACGTATGACAACAGCATATTTCATAAAGTTGCACCCTGACTTTTCTCCCTACTCATCTATATGCTCTTGCAGATGTGCAGACCTCCACAGAGAGAACGGATAATAAAGCTATGTAAAATCCTCCAGGTCCGCTAGAGAGCAGTGTTTTATCCCTAGTCAGGTTTGCAGTCTGTCACAGAAACACGGAAATGAGTCAAGAGAGTGGCACAGAACTAACTCGAGTGTGGTGCGAGAGCAGTTTGAGGAGTTTAATACTTCCTAAAATTGCCACATACTACTTTTGATTATCTTACCTGAGCGTAAGCGAACTGGCGAAGACTTAACACATCACACATCCCGGCCACTGTGTATTTTTCTGTGTATAATCCTGAGTTTGGGCGTTTCTCGAATTCGAAAGTAAGTGTTGGAGCCATGGCTGAGTCTATTGACGAAGACATGCCGGAGGAGGCTCAACCCCTACAGCAGGACCTGACCTGCCCCGTGTGTCGGGGCATCTTCCGGGACCCCCTGCTGCTGCCCTGCACCCACAGCTTCTGTCGGGAGTGTGTGCAGAACATTGTGAAGGTGAACAAGAAGTGTCCTGTGTGCAGAACCTTGTTTGAGGAATTGCAGGCCATCGCCAACCGCGCGCTCAACAGTACGTGCGAGACTTTCCTCATGCAGTCCAATTGGATGCCGACCCGGAAGCGTCCCAATGAGGAGGTCTGCAACCTGCACCTGAAGGCTCTGGAGCTGTACTGCGAGAAGGACGAGGAGCCGCTGTGTGTGGACTGTGTGGCCATGCACAACACACACAAGCTCTACTCACTCAAAGATGGGGCTCCGATATGTAAGGTAAAGTACTCTCAGAAGTTATCAATAAAGGTGTTTTGGGCTCTGAAATAAGTATTTCATTAAAGGTAACATTATTCTTTGATAGCACTTAGTTTCAAACCTGCAAGGAAAAGTACAGAGATCACCCGGGAAGCACATTAGAGAGATACGGCAGCTTCTATGTGGGCCTGACAGAGGTGCAAGAAGTACTCAGATCTTGTACTTGAGTAGAAGTACCAGAGTGTAATACTCTGTTACAAGTCAAATTCCTGCATTCAAAATGTTACTCAAGTAAAAGTACAAAAGCATAGGCATCAACATATACTTAAAGTTCAACGGTACCCAAGTAGTTTGAAGGATTTGTTTTCCATTAAGCTTTGTGTGGTATTCCTCTCATGAAATGTTGTTCACTGATGATTCGAATAATAAGATATACATGTAATAAACTGCATGCTCATGCTAATATGTTGCTTTGCCGATTCAATAACAATTGTATCTGATGTTCTGCTTTCCACCCTGCAGAAGGAGCTGAGCTTCAAAGTCCAGATTTTTGAAAAGAAAGTGGAGGAGTACAAGAAATGGACACTCAAACTCAGCAATTCAGTGGAATACGTCAAGGTAAAGTTGCTGTCACGTCGCACTGGGTTCATCTTTACGGATGTGTTCTTATTTATGTACTGCAGTGAGAGATGCCAACTTAATTTTCGTTACACTGATGTGTGATGACAATAAAGATATTCTATTCTATTCGTACATACATCTGTGTATAATCTTTGATCTAGTTGAATAAAAAGCTGCAAAACTAGTCGGCTACCTTCAGACTTTTGTGGAGAAAGGATCTCCCCACAGGGATTTGTTAAGTCATTTGCTCCGGACATTGACCGCAAATATCTCCTTCTTTTTGCTCAGATTCCTAATATTGCTGTCTAAAGTCATATTAAATGCAATACATCACATATATAGATTTAGATAGATGGACCCTAACATGCCCCTTATATGTTTTATGAACACAGCCCGCATCCTTATTTCTTATTTCTTATTTCTTTACTGTTAGTAATCAAACTGAATCGAATCCTTGAAGCTATACATTTTCCTAAAAATAAATCTGATATGAGAAAAAACTTGAAACCAAACATTTATACATTTAATGAATATAATTTAAATATAAATATACAATAAATACAATTTGTTTTTATTATGCTAATTCAATACATTATTAAAACAGACAATCAATGAGTTATTAAAGAAAAAAAACAATAAAGGGTTTTAAACTTAAAGGTGGGGTAGGTAATTTAGGAGAAACCAGCTCGAGTGCGCTAGAATTTGAAAATACACAGCCGGAACAAATCTACCACTTCCTTACAGAGCCCCTCCTCCAACACACACGAACGCGCACATGACCAATGAGGGCACGAGATCAGTTTGTGCACAGATGGAAGGCTGACAGGCAGGTAGGCCATCCAGCTACTTTAGCCGGGCCGGCTCAGATGATTGGTCGTGCTTTTTACAGCGCCACGGCTTCCACAGATTTTTTTATGTATTTATTGTCAAAGCATTTAATGTATTCATTTCTATCGGATGTTAAGAGCATTCCATGGAATATAACAAGTGTTTCTGAAGTGAATTACATTACCCTACCTTTAAGTAAGCTATATGACATGTGGTGAGTAGTACATATCTCCAATAAAGCATCACACTTTTTTTATATAGCTTAAAAATGGTTGCCATAAAGAATAATTTCATAATTTCTTGCAATGAAATCTTGTAAAATAGAACATTTCTCAAATCTCAAACAGGTCTTTATTACATAGGTAAATGTTTGGAGGATGGAGACGGCACATACAATTATAATTCCTCCTTGTATGTAAACTATTTAAGTAATATCTCTTTTCTTTCATCCATGCAGTATCAAGCTGAGCAGGCAGAGAGGCAGATCAAGGCTGAGTTTGAGAGGCTGCACAAGGCGCTGGTCGCAGAAGAAGCTCTGTGCCTCAAAGCCCTGTCCGATGAGGAGGAGCAGAAGATCGCCAGCATACAGGGGAAGATCGACAAAGTAAACGAGGACATCAAGGCTTTGAAGGCGCTCTCTGAAACCCTGAAGAAAGAGATGAGCAACGACGATCTTCCCCTCCTGAAGGTAAGAGGAGGCACAAAGTTATGAGATGCATATGACTGTACCTTATTTCTCTCTTACTAACTTATCTCACTTACTCTCTTTTATCTTTTAGAATTTCCAGAAGTTAAAGAGAGAGTAAGTATCCGCAAAATACACGGGCAATCAAAAATATTGTGTGCTGTTAAATCTTTAAGTCTTTATTCTATTTTGTGAAATGTTTCTTGTTAACTTCTTATTGCCGTCTTTGCTTTAGAGCTCAGTGGACTCAGGACGACCCTTGCATCCCTTACGACTCGGTTTTGAACATGGGCAAACATGTCGGTGCTTTGAGCTTCAACATCTGGAAGAACTTGCAGGCCCATGTCAAATATAGTGAGTAAACGACGCTGGGAGTTGGGATCCAATCGGCCTGCAGTTTAAAAAAACCTTGTGTCTTTACTGAACTTGTGTTTAATAAGTTTGATATTGATTCGACAACAAAAAAGCATTTCTTCAGACCTGGCTGTCGGACATTAAATGTGTCGTATCTACTTGAAACTTAGGTCTCGAAGTTAACAGACTTGAATATTGGCACAACAAAACACCACCTTCAATAGGGGTGTGAAACCTTTTGTATCCCACGATCATTTTTGATTGTTGTGGTCACGAGACATTTCAAAATTCTTTCTAGATTTAAAAAAAAAAATGTGGGTTAATTTTGTGCTGGTGCTAAAAGTTTGTATGAAATAATGCTGTTTTTATATTTGAAATAGTTACGGCAACTGATTACAATAATTTCAACACAACCCACATCTTTTTATTTCTTTTATTCTGTAGGAATAAAATAACTTTAGGTTATACAATAAAATAAAAATGCTGCATGTTACATGAATATAATTGGTTGGCGTAGTCTAGCTCTCTTTTTATGTCTCAGACATTTTGTGGGATCTTTCTACGATTCACACAAACATGCTTAACACAATTTTGACTTGAACCTAGATATTGCTACTGGTGGGCGGTAATACACAGCTTTAAAGAAAAAACATTTTAAATATTGATTTTTGGAAGTTGTGAATTGATTCAGAATCTTACATTTGTCCATGAGTTGCCTTTTTCCCCCAGTCTAAAAACATTATATGTGACAAAACAAATGTTACTTTAATTTAAATACATATATGGGAGCCAAAATGTTGATTTACTATTTTCATTATTTAATCGTTGAATTATGCGTCAAATGTTGAATATTGGATATGGAATAGGTTGTTAATTAATGTCAATTAATTGTGATCCGCACACCCGGTTAAACACAACAGCTGACTGACGCTGTGATTGCCTCAGCTGGTACAAAAGAGTCCTGCTGACAATACTCTGCGTTCATTTTGTTTGTGAAGCCATACGGTTTTTTGACCATTGCACAGAAATTACGAGTTTAAGTTGTTTATTTTATGTGACGTAACTGTCTCATTGTCTGGTAAGACACTTTTATTTGTGTTAAAAGAAGAAAACAGTGAAGAAAAGACGTAAAGGATAACATGGAAATAAATGTACCGAAACAAACAAACAATATCTCTCTGTGTGATGTGTGAGCGCGTCGGCCAGGCGTAAACCAAAGGACAGAAAGGAGTAAAAACGAAGTGGGAAAGATTGCTCTTTTAACATAATATTGTCTCCTCCTGTGTGCAGACCCAGTGGTGTTCGACCCCAACACCGCCTCTCCCTGGCTCTCCTTGAACCCGGACCTGTCCTCTGTGAAGGAAAGCTCGGAGCGGCTCACCGTCCCTGAGAACCCGCAGCGCTTCGATCCCTGCGTCTTCGTGCTGGGCGCTGAAGGTTACAAGACAGGGAAACACAGATGGGACGTCATTGTGGGCGACAATCCCAAGTGGATTGTGGGAGTGTGCAAAGAGTCCGTGCCCCGTAAGAAGAAGTTTCACAGTCTCTACTAACCGAGGTGTGTGGTCCATTGGACTGAGCAAAGGCGTGTACACCGTCTCCACCCCTGAGCGTACGGAGCTGCAGGTGCAGCAGCGCCCCGAGAGGATCCGCATCAAGCTGAACATGGATAAGGGAGAGGTGTCATTTTGGGATGGGGGCACGACGAAGCACCTTGTCACGTTAACACACGAGTTTGATGAGGAGATGTTCCCTCTCTTCGGCCCTGGGCTCTATAGTAGTCCTACGGTCCTGCCTCAGGGAAAGATAGCTGTACACACATCATAGGCCGATTTACAAAACTAGGATTTGAAATAAGAATAAAAACCTTTTTACACACAACCTTTTTAAAGTACGATACATTTAACAAAATGTCACTATCAGTCAAACACAGATTGATTACAAGCAAATAAATGATACAAAATAAAAAGGGATTGAACAATACAATTGAGAAAAACAATCAGTGTATAGATAATCATGTAAAAAATTTAATTAATTAAATATAATATAACAGTTTATAAAATGGAAACTTCAGAAATTACATTTTTTGTTAACGTATAACTTTTCAAGTTATTTGTTTATCACATAAACAACAATAACAGAGAAGCATTCGTTTGCTATGGAAATCTTAAGTCTCAGTCCCTCTAACAATGCTAATCACCTAAAAATAAAAACAAATATATATGTAAGAATATAATATATGTAATAAAATATAGGGATAAAACTTAAACTTAAAAATTCTAGAGATAAAATCTATTTCTAATTCAAAGTACATAAAAGACTATAATGATATATTTCAGGTTCGGCATAAGGGACTCATGAGAATTAAAGTCTGTCAGCTGCATGATGCATCATTTGAGAAATTACATCCTGAATACTGATTTCACTAAAGTTAGCGCTGAGCTTCAGTCTGCAATGTTCAAAACAACAGATAAAGCCAGAAATCTAGGTGTAGTCATGGACTCTGACCTGAGCTTCAACAGTCACATCAAAACAGTTACTAAATCAGCCTACTATCACCTAAAGAATACATCTGGGATTAAAAGACTAATGTCACAGCAGGATTTGGAAAAACTTGTCCATGCTTTTATCTTCAGTAGACTCGACTACTGCAATGGTGTCTTTGCAGGTCTCACTAAAAAATCTATTAGGAAGCTGCAGCTAATTCAGAACACCGCTGCTCGAGTCCTCACTAACACTAAGAAAGTGGATCACATCACTCCTGTTCTGAAGTCTTTACACTGGCTTCCTGTGTGTCAAAGAATAGATTTCAAAATACTGCTGCTGGTTTATAAAGCACTGAATGGTTTAGGCCCAAATTATATTTCTGACCTTCTGCTAAATTATGAACCATCCAGATCTCTCAGGTCTTCAGGGACTGGTCAGCTTTCTGTCCCCAGAGTCAGAACTAAACACGGAGAAGCAGCGTTCAGTTATTATGCTCCAAATATCTGGAACAAACTCCCAGAAACCTGCAGGTCCGCTGCAACTCTGACTACTTTTAAATCCAGGCTGAAGACTTTTCTTTTTGTCGCTGCTTTTAATTTGACTATTCATATCTTAGACTGCACTGTAACTTTTATCCATGTATTTTTTCTTTTAATGTTTATTTTATTAGCTTTTCTAAATGCCATTTTCTTAATGTCTTTCATTTTTTGTAAAGTACTTTGAATTGCCTTGTGTTGAAAAGTGCTATATAAATAAACTTGCCTTGCTGATGATTTTTTTGAGAAAGCAGAGGATAATCAAAGCCCAATATGTTGACATGTGCCTTAGCTGGAGGAAAGTGGGTTGATCACTCTTTTGTCGCTACATTACTATGGACAGAAAGGAATACAAAATGACACCAAAATAACTGGGAACTTGGCTGACGCTGGTGCCAAAACTGATCACTTTTGAAGTGGTTAATAAAACATCTCTCTTGACATCCATCTCTTGATATCTGAGGGTCAATAAATACAAATGTGAATGTATTTAAGTTGCTTGCTTTACTCGATTTTGGTGCTTTTATAGTAGTTACGTAATATTTACTTTACACAATTTTAAGAATCAATTGAAATAATTGCTTTTATGCTGGGGAAATGTGCTTTAATCATTTGTTGTACTTTTATAAAATGTTATTGATTTTACTCAAATATTGTGGTTTAAAATGTTAACCAATCTGTGCTGTTTGGTTTGTTGTATATTTGATCACTCGCTACACAAATTGTGGCCTGGAAGTAGTCATGCTCAGTGACAGCTTGTATGATATAGCCTACTACTACTACTACTACTACTACTCTGAATCTGTTTATGCACAATCTGAATTCGCTGTCTCCATGTAATCACTTGTTTAATAAAAACCAATACAATCTAATTAGTTTTCTTTATTGATTAAAAGCACATTAACTGTCCGTACACAATTTCAAAAAATGCTGCACTGTGGGACACATTTGATCTATCTAAGCATTTATTCTCATCATACACAAATATACAGTACAATGAGATTTTTAAGTGCAACCCCGTCACAGTGTGCAAACAGACACACAATAAAAACACAAACAATCATACAAGGGACGATACATATACTCATTGATATCTATATATTCACTGTTTTGGGTATTTTGTTTATCTTCTACTGCTGTTATGTATATCTTTATTGTTTTAATAGTTTTTCTCCCCTCTATTTTTATTTTATTGTATTTACTTCTAATTCATTTGCAATGCATATGCTGCTGTGCCCCATTTTTTTCAAATTGTGTATATCTCATCTATCGCTGTGTGATGTTACTACTTACTTTTACTTAAATACAATATCACACACACACACAACACACACACACACACACACACACACACACACACACACACAATGCAGTGATGGTTGCTGAAACGTTTGTACATTATGCATAAATAGAGACTATGCTTTCGACATACTGTCTGTTAAATGAAAATGTCAGAAATCCAGATGTTGAGTCGTTGATCTCTCCGCTGGATGGCGGTGGTGGACATGCTGTCTTTTTTGTTGGCTAACACCGGTGGCTGCTAGCCAACCATAAACACCAAAACAACGGGCATCTGTCCCTGGGATGGACTGCAGGGATTGGGTCAATTGCGATCTGTGGGTTCGTTGTTAGCTGGCAGCATTTCCTCCTACTGTAACGGCTAAGAAACATAATTTCCTAAATACATAACGAATAATTACTCTCAAGAGGGACGGTTCCTGGTAGATTTAGCAGCAACTGCCGATTGCGCATCTGGAATTTAGCCGCTAACGCTAGCTAGCCGACAAGCTAGTTTAGCAGATCCTGTCCTCTGCATTTTTTTCGAAGCATTAGCTATAAGCTAGCTCTTAGTCTCAAGCATTCACAAGTCAAAGAACATGTAAATTACCATGGAAGCAAAGAGACGGGAACTGGTGAGTATGATGATGAAAATGTGTAAACTAGCCTGCTAACGGCCTCTTTCTGTTAACGGTATTCAGCTAGCTTTCTGAGCTTAGCAACCTCTGCATATTAGCTTTGTTGTGATAGCCTGCGGTGAGCCCCTGTTGCTGATACCAGTGTTTATCTCTTATCTTGTTGGATATAAAACCCTCTGTGTTGTTGAATAGCATTGTTATTTGATAAATCTCCACATGTGTGGACATTGTATTGTTTTAACTTGAATGTGTGTAAGACTGGTGCACTGTGTAGCTAACGGTACTGTACATAGGGCTAGAGTTAGCTTCATCAGTATCTCTCTATGGGCTGCGTCTAAGCCGTTTTGAGCATTGCATTGCAATTGTTCTACATTTGGTTCTGTAATGAAGCAAGAACGGAATTATGCAAACGGTTAGGGGACTTGAAGGGCCCAGAGCTGGAACAAGTATTCAGATCTTGTACTTAAGTAAAAGTAGAGGTACCAGAGTGTACAAGTAACGGTCCTGCTATCAAAATGTCACTCAACTAAAAGTACAAAAGTATTAGCATACAAATATCCTTAAAGAACCAATAGTAAAAATAATCATTGTGCAGATTGGTCCATTTCAAAATAATACATAATGTGTTTTGATTATAATTTATTTATTGATGCATTAAAATGTTATCAAAGCTGGTAAAGGTGCAACTAGTTTTAATCACGTTGTATACTGCAGGCTAGCTTGTGAATTAACTCCAGGTGTAACTAAAGTCTTATTTCAGTTTTTGATTATATTTCAAATCAATAATCCAAATCTGCAAAGTAACTAAATATATTGTATTGTATATACTAAATACATGTAGTGGAGTAAAAGTACACTATTTACCTCCATTTTAGTGGGGTATAAGTACAAAGTAGCAACATATTGAAATACTCAAGGAAAGTACAAGCCTCTCAAAATTGTACTTTAGCACAGTACTTGAGTAAATGTACTATATATCTTTACATCACTAGCACTTGAATCCCATTTGGTTGTGTGTTATTCTACAGTCTGCATGACATTGCAGTTGTCTTAAGGATTGCGTGGTTTTATACTGAAGCAAGAATGGGATTATGCAAAGGGCCAGGGGACTTGCACGGCCACATTAGGTTGTTTGTGTGACCACCACGCCTCCTTAGAAATAATCCTATATTTTTTTGCTGTCATATTTACTTACATGATGCTGATGCATATTTTTAAAGATATATCTGCTAGGAGGACCCACACAAAGTTATCTGACCATTTCCCTGTCATTATTCAGGCAGTGCCAGTGATGGCCTCCCCCCTGCCTGTCTCCATCATCCTGGTGGTTCTGCTGTTGGCTGAGTCTCCATGCCAGGCAGGGGACTGCAAAGGCCACAGGCAGGTGTTGAGGGGACCACCAGGCTACGTCACTGATGGACCAGGAAACTACTCTGTCAATGGGAACTGCGAGTGGCTTATCAAAGGTATAAGAGTGTGTCTTGTTTGCTGAAAAATGGATGAATAAATTGAAGCCGAAGGCTGTAACTCACAGATATGTCCCACCTTTATACATCCTCCAGCCCCCAGCAGCAGCCACAGCATTGTCCTAAATTTCACCTTCATGGACACAGAATGTACCTATGACTACCTGTTTGTGTATGATGGAGACTCCTACCAGAGCCCTCTTCTAGCCAGCCTGAGTGGCAACACTCTGCCTGAAGCCATTGAAGCCAAGTCTGGCAAGGTAACTAATAAAAGCACAATGAAAGAAACTGAAGCGTTATAACTGGCATATAATCATTTTGTGTCTATTATTTGATTTCCAGATGCTGCTTCATCTTTTCAGTGACGCTAATTACAACCTCCTGGGCTATAATGCAACGTACACCTTCTCTCTGTGCCCCGGAGCCTGTGGGGGCCGCGGTCGCTGTGACTCCACCACATCAAAGTGCCAGTGCCATCAGGGTTGGGGAGGAGCAGCTTGTACAACCCTCCTGTGCTCCCAGGCTTGTTCTGTGAATGGCCAGTGTGACAAGGTAAGAGTAGGGATGGGGAAGGTTCAATGATAACAAAAAGCAATCCGTGTCCAACGGAAGGGTCATTCATTCTCCCCTAAATAAGCTTATATTACGCCTGTTTGTTGTGCGGTGTGGTCTTAAACAATTTTTCCTTTCCAATGTTTTGTCTCAGAAAGGGGAGCGTTGCATATGTAACCCTGGTTTCCTGGGTCAGAGCTGCCTGCTTGGTTTTCATAACGACAGTGGGGCGGGGCAGTGGTGGCGGGTGAGTGAAGGAAACCCCCACACGCCCCCCAGGACGGGTTCTGCTGGCGTGTATCTGTCCTCCACTGGAGCCATGTACTTGTTTGGCGGTGAGATACTCC